CGTGTTTGAAATTGTTTATGTTATCCACAATATATTCCTTATAATAATTGATAATTATTCAATTTTTGTTGTCTTAGTGCAAACGATTGTAGGTTAACGCGGGTCATTGGCCTTTTGGCCGTTCACTTTGCTACAATAGATACGTGAACAAACATATGTATGTACACATATAGTTACTCACATGAGTTTGTTTTATAGCTAACTAGAAACATAGCCAGACAAATGGTTGGCGGGTCCATTTGAAGCCCAGTCACGTTTGGGAAGTAATCTAAAAACGTGATGTGAACTCCAGCTACGTATTTTCTGCTACACCTGTAATGTATATGTGCATGTAAATAATAACAAAACAATAATAAATGTATGTGCATACAGTAGATGCTAGTTAGTGATCTATCAGTTAAGAGTGAACCGAAAAACATATTTATATGACATACAATTAATAGAGATAATTAAAAGTAATTGGGCATTAGAATTATCATAATTTATAGCTAACTGGACGTTTTTGTGACTATTGTATTTATAACTTATTATATATATAATTTGCGCTTTGTAACCGCTGAATCGCATTTTGGCCGAGCTCGGCTACCGCGGCAGCCACTTTTTAAACAAATAAAAAAAATAAAAAACTAGACACTAAAATAAATTAAAATTTAAAATAAAGCATAATTAAAATAAAATTCATTAAACAAAATAAAATAAGATAAGGTGACATATGAAATAAAAACTGAAATAAAATAAAATAAATAATTAAATAGAAATAAACAAAATAAAAAAAATTTAATAAAAATGAAAAAAATTAAATACAATTTCATTAAATTAAAATAAAGAAATTAAATAATTTATAAATAAAAAAAATAGAAAGTAAATAAAAAAAATAAAAAGTAAAATAAAGTTAAATAAAATAAAATTAAATAAAATAAGATATATTAGAATAAGATAAAATAACGATTGATGACATAAAATAAACTAAGAAAATATGGAAAAAATTTAATTAAATAAAGCTAAATAAAATAAAATGAGATAAACCAAATAAAAATAAATTAAATTAAATTGAATTAAATTAAATATTATAAAGTAAAATAAAAAAAAAATTTAATAAAAAAAGAAGTTAAAATAAAATATACTAATATTATTAATTAAACTTAAATAAAATAAAATATATAAATAAAAATAAATAAATAAAAGGAGTTAAATAAATAAAAATAAATAAAAAAAATAAAAATAATTTAAATAAGAAAAAATAATCTTTTTGTTGAAGAAAGGGAAAGGCGAAAGTGACGAAGCACTTATTTATCGTGCATACGTGTATGTATGTGCATCATTTTCTCTGCCAAAACGAAACTCTAGGAGCAAAATTTTTAAAGTGTTCAGTACTGAAGCTTACATTTTTTTCGTCCTTATAATTATTTCATTTTATACATAATTTTTCTTTAATCTTAGTATTAAAGGGTGATCCATTTCGAGGCTCCCTACTTTTTTTTAAAGAAAATACATAGCAAATTCAAATTTAGAGGGGAATGTTTATCATCGTACGAAACAACATTCTTTGGCATTTCATCGTCGAAGTTAATATTTTTCAAATGCTGGCCGCGACTACGTCTCAGATGGTCTATCTATTAAGCCAAATTTTCGATGACTCATTCGAGCATTTCGACTGGTAACTACTGGCGAATGACATGTGTGATGTTTCCGAAGCGATGTCGCTTGGTAGGGTCGAGCGGCTTTAGTTCTTGCACAAGCTGTATTTTGTACGCTTTCAATTTTAGTTCTCGACGTCGCGACAAGCGTCAAATCGTTCTATGTGTCAGTCCGAGTTGCTGTGAGCTGCGCCGAATCGACTCTCTACGCTACGGTCTTCGGTCTTCGTGTACACTTTCAGTTACGGCATAATATGGAATAATATTTCGAAATAGGTTAATGATGTTGTTCTTGGTGTTATAAATTGCCTAAAACTGGATGTTTAGGTGAAGGCAAAAGAACTAATGTAAAAAATAAAATTAGTCAACCTGTTGCTACGATCATACATATATACACATACAAACGTATGAATATACATGAATGAATAAATAAACATTAAGACCAGTAAGTTTTCGGAAATTTTTTTGACAGACGATCAATAAAGAGTGTTATTTCAGCGGTTTGAGTCGTTTTCACATAAACCGGCGTCGTGGGCCAACAATTTCCGGAAACTTTCATGCCGATAATGCGCCATCGCACCGAGCTGCAGTAGTGAACGATTTTATGACCAAAAACTGGCTTACTAGCATTGATCGACCACCGTATTCACCGGATTTGGCCCCATGCGACTTTTTTTGTTTTCAAAACTCAAGTTACCACCCGTTTCAACTCGACTGAGGCCGTAAAAGAAAATTCGCAGACGGAACCGAGATCGACTGATTTCAACAAACTCGTTGACAGTTCGCGTTCATTTTTAACATGGGAATTAAGGACAGTGCTACCAACTTAACAAAATAAAAGTGCTGAAAAATATTCAATTTGCGGAAACTTTCTGGTCATAATGTATGTATGTATATATTGTATTAGGTGTAGTAAAAAAAATACATTTTTTTTATTTTTTCAATTGATGGCATTATTCAGTTGTATCTCGCGTTGTGTAAGCCCGATCGGGTTCCGCTAGATGGCGTAGGAAATATGACATTTCGTATTAAAGAAGCCTTTCTGAGTTTTGAGATTCGTTGATTCAGTTTTGTTTGAGCGTGCGTCAAAAGGTGGACACTAGCAAATAGAAAATATGCTATATTTCACAGTTTTTCTTCGATAAGAACGAAAACGCAAGCCGGGCCGTTGAAAATATGAATTATGGTCCTGATACTATTACAGTCTATCTTGCACAGTCTCGGTTTCATTACGATAATTTTAATGTAAAAGATGCTTCACGGAGTGGAAGGCCAATTGTCGATAAAATCGATAAAATCATGGACATTGTCGAGTCCGAGCGTCATTTAAGCATTGGGTGCATTTAGCGAACTGAGCACTCAGTAAACATGTTCAGTGAGTGATTTTACTGAGCGATTAATTTTCACGAACGCAATGCTACTTCAAATGTCGAAACTAATTGAGAAGTGGCACAGTTTCTTCATAAAAATTTATGATGCTTTCTTTTAAATTTCTTTCTTTGAAAACCGTTTATCTAGTGCAGATGGCGCTACTAAGTTTATTTGACAACCCAAAAAATCTTGTAAATTATCGTCACAAGCACTTTCAAGTAAAAATACTTTTAAATTTTCGCGATTCATTTTTTCTGTTTACAGCAGTTGACCGATCAGTAGCAAGTAGCATAAAAATTTTACGCCCACAAATATGGTGAGCGTTCACTGAACATGTTTACTGAGCGCTCAGTGCGCTGAACGCACCCATTTTTTCGTTCGCTCAAGAGCTAAAAATTGTACAAAAAACCGTTAGGGATCATTTGAATAAGGATACTGGTTACGAAAAGTAAAAAATTAAAGCTTACAATTTCATGAAAAAATAATGGATTTCTTTTTACTACACCTAATATATATGAATATTTACGAACATTTCCAAGGTCTCAATCAAGGTTCTCTGCAATCAGAACATCGATTGTGTAGTACATATATGTATATATGTATGTATGTATATATATGACTTAAATAAGTATTAAATGAAAGTACATTCCTCTGCTATTCAAATATTTACCAAAATCTCTGTATATATTCATACAAAAATAAATATGTATGTTTATAAGTAAGTATAGATGGCAGCAAATGTTTTGCAAATTAGCTCCACCAAAAAGAAAAAAAAAACAAATGTTTATTTACTAAAAAGATCAACACATTTTCAATACATACAGTATGTCCCAAAAATAACTGAACTTTTTGGATATAAAATAAAATACACATTATATTATCTTTGAAAGTTATTATTCATTCAAAATAGGTTCCATTTGACTCAACACAATGTTTGGAACGATCAACCAGGCCATGCATAGATTTTTTTATGTCATTTATAGAAATGTTCTTCAGTAGCTCGGTTACGGCTGCTTGAATGGCTGGGATATCATCATAAAATGCTCCCTTCATCTTGGTTTTCAGTTTTGGAAATAAAAACTAGTCACATGGTGATAGATCAGGCGAATACGGAGGATGGTCGATGAGAGAAATCCTTTTTTTTTCATTAAAAATTCGAGCGATTTTTTGGTCGTCATTTAATTCATGTGGAACAAATCGCGCACAGACCTTTCTTTTCCCCAAATCTTCAGTTAAAAATCTCCAAATAGTGTTTTTACTCGTACTCAATTCCTCAGCCAACATTCTCGTAATAAAATTTGCATCGATACCAATGATTTCACGGAATTTTTCCACCAGTTCAGCACGATTACTAGTTTCTGGACGTCCTGCTCTAGGATCGTCATTTAAATCCTCACGACCATTTTTAAATCGTGTAAACCACTTGCGACTCATACAATCATCACAATAAACTTTTTTCATTAATTTTTTTCAGGTATGACACAAAATTTCACATTTGCTCTTTGTTTCATTTTATTTTTGAACCATTAGCACACTTTTGGTTTTATTGAAATGGCTGTCACTTTTACATCTGTCATCCGACTTACATGACGTTAGGTGCGTTTGAAAGATTTAATGTTGCAAATTTTCAATAGGTGGCGCTGTAGATTTAAATATAAAGTTCGGTTATTTTTGGGACACACTATGTATGCATATTTTAACTGTCTAGTGACGTTTTTAGGCATCCAATTGTGATTTTTTCACAGCTATTTTTTAACTTAGTAAGATTCATTAGCATTTGCTTGTGTTCTGTATGTGCTCATATATATGTACATATATGGATGTTTGAATGGCTGTGTCCATAGATGCAAATAGTAATTATTTGGTGCGACCTTAAAAATAAATATTTACTTTGCGCTTTAGCACGTGTTTAATATTTGTTTATTTTTCCGCTGTTATCTATATTTTCAATATTCTATTAAATTGTTTTTTTTTTTGTTTTAATTGTTTTAGAGAAGAAAACAATATTGAAACGAATTTCTGGCACATTCCGCGCCGGCCAATTGACAGCGATTATGGGCCCCTCTGGAGCGGGCAAATCAAGTTTGTTGAATATTTTAACTGGTGTCACGTAAGTTGATTTTTAAATAGTTCCTTATAGTAAATACACACACACATACATTTATTAATGTACATATGTATGTACGTACATATGCATATTGGAAACAAATTTAAATAACCGATTACTTATAAAGAGATTACCTTTTATTTGTTATTGTTATTGTTATTGTTTTTTATTCTTCTTTTTTAGTAAAAAAGGTGTTAGCGGTAACATAAATTTCGGCGAATCGCCAACAAAATCGCGTAAAAACTGTAGTTATATAATGCAGGATGATCACTTCCATTCATGGTTTACCGTTGAGGAGACAATGCTGCTGGCAGCACAATTGAAAATCTCAAACGAATCAATGAATATGAAGGAAAAGAAAATGTTGGTAAGTGTGAAAATAACAGTTTTGAAATTCTACGTACAAAAATGTATTAAAATTATGGCGTAAATATGTTCACCTCTCGACAGGGAATGCCAAACCACCCTCCGTGTGTGTCCCTGGTAAGAAATAAAAAGTTTCTCATAGAAATTCTGAAGCTGGTTAATTTTTTGGGAAAACATCAAGTCATAGACACTATTAAGCAAGGCGGTCGAAATAGCCGAATAGTTAACGGTCCATACGCATATTCGGAGGGTCAAGGTTTCAAGATCGACTCCAGGTCCGACCAACACTCAAAATTATTGAAAATTTATTTTTAAAAATTTTTTGGCACGAAATATTAAAGTTTTTCATCAACACACACCACGAATTGGAGGAAAAACTCAGTGGGGAATTCTCTCAACGGTTACAAAGCGCCAATTACATATATAGAAAGTAGTTGTTGTTCTCTTAAGACAATTGCCGAAGTTAAATGAAGGTGTTTAGATGCAGTGGTCGTGGTTTCTCAACTAGAGCGTTAGAAAACAAAGTTGTTTCGATGTTCCATAATAACTTTTTGCTCATCCCAGGGAATATTGAACTTACTGATGAAAGTCGCTTCAAAGCTGCTCTGTCTACACCTTCTTTTTTCTTCAAGCGTTGATTTTTCTGCTCTAAATAGGAACCAGTTACGTTCGAAAATTTGTTTAAGATAAAGTTTACATTGGATGATTTCAACTGGATGGTTCTTGCACCCGTCCATCTAAATGTTTTGGTAATCATATGACAGTCGCAGAGGATTCTCGAAATCCCAATTTGTACGCTATTTACTATCAAAGTAAGCCCAACAGAGAGAGAAGTCGAGAAGCTCTTGACTAATAGGTTTCAATGTTTTCTTCTTATTATTCTCCTTTAGCACTCCATTCGTTTTTTGTTTTTGGTAAATTGGCGTCAGTTGGGGAAACAGTGGGAAGCGAGGACCTTTTCCGCTTGATCTTATTAACGAAGTTTAGTTCTTCTACTTTCACTGCTTCCTTCCATCAGCAGGTACTGAATAGAATGCTTTTGAAGCTGGAGCGTTTTCATACTTCCGGACTTCATGGTTAATCAACGTAACCATTGAATCCTTAAATAAGTGTTATTATGCCATTCATTAACGTTAGTACCCGAAGATTATTATTATTTGCAAAACCTTTCTCTCAAAACCTCTTGGATGTCATTGTTGTTGTTGTTGATGTAGCGGTTCTCCAGTCCCGCTCAGGAGCAGTCAAATCATTTAACGAGAGGTCCAGGAAACGAGGTGTTACAAAGGGTTCAACAAACCAGAGGGTAAGGGGGGCTAGTTAGGTATGTCTTTTGGGATATGCGAAGAGGTGGTTAATGTCGTATGGCCTCTCATTTCATAGATCTTAATTGTGCTGGCATTTGCTCGAGCTCTTCGTCTGCAATTGGTGGTGTTTGGATTCCGAGAACGGCATTCACTGGTAGAGACTTCACGATACCGTTGGTAAACTCTCCTGTAAAGCGGTTCTTGTCTATGATGCTGAATGCAGTCGGTATAGTCTCATACTTCCTTCCTGATGAATCTGGGTAGAGGTTCGGTCTCAAGTCTGGTGTGGTGGAATAGACCAGTGAGAGAGGGAGATTGGTCGGTTTTAGGGGGCATGTAAGGAGATGGTTAGTGTCGTGGTCGAGTTAATGGCGTCTGTGGCCTGTCTGTACGCCATCCTGTTCAGCGGTTGTTGCACGTGTGCTGGATTGTGTCCTTTAAATCTAGTACTCCTTTTCTGATGTGACTGGGCGGAGGTTCAGCCTCTATTAGACATCTGTTGGGGTGCACCCTGCGGTAGCATCCCCTTTGCAACAGCTGGTTCACGAGCCGGAGTTAACCCGGATTTTATCTGGCCAAGGGTTGTCACCTTTTTAACGATCTACGCCCGTTTTGGTGACATGTAATATTAATCTCTCATGTCGTCATCGTCCACGCTTCTGCGAGAATGACGGGTGACGAGTGACGAGTGTTTCGCTTCTTCTTTGCCAGGAAGGGTGCTTACTTTGCAGTTTCTTCAAAAATACATCTACTGGGAGGGTCTCAGTTAATTTCTTTACTCAGTAGCCTATAGTAGAACTTAAACTCGGACTGAAGTTGAAATTGGTTTGCATGATAAATTAGGACTTATTCAGAGCTAACCTAACCTAACTTAATCCAAAAAAGTGGTTTTTAGTTTAAACTCACATTTTGCATTATTAATCTTCCAGATTGAACATTTATTGGACACCTTGAAGTTATCACAAGCGAAACAAACCCGTGCTGGAAATTTATCTGGTGGCCAGAAGAAACGCTTATCGATCGCTTTAGAATTAATTGATAATCCAGCCGTGTTATTCTTGGATGAGCCAACAACGTAAGGCCTTTCTTAATCAATTAATTCTATATAATTTGTTTTATTCAATGACACAATATAATATTTTTTTCTTGTCCATCAATAGCGGTTTAGACAGTTCGGCGTCTTCTGACACCATACAGCTGCTACAAACTTTGGCTAATGAAGGACGTACAATTGTTTGCACAATTCATCAGCCTTCAACACATGTCTTTAATTTATTCAACCACATCTATGTGCTGAGTCAAGGATGTTGTACGTACCAGGGTACACCGCATAATACTATCGACTTTTTACGTGCGGTCGGCTTGGAATGTCCAACTTATCACAATCCTGCTGATTTTCGTAAGTGAAATATAAGACGTTTGTATATATATATACACATATGAACATATATGAAATCTGACCTATGTGATGCCTGCCTTGTGTGCGAATGCCAAACTGTTCCCTTTTATAAATTCTCGAACCAATGAAATCCTTATTAACTTCGCTTCCCTTTCTTTCCCAGTGCTCGAGTGTGTTAATGGTGAATATGGCGATCACACTGAAGTCTTAGCCACTGCGGCACGACAACCGGAATGGCGGCATGACCACACGCAGGATCCGCAACATCTAGAGGGTTTAAGTGGCGAAGAAATTGCTAAAATGTCCGAGTTGCAGCGGCGTGCAGAGGGAAAAAAACTACTAACGCCATCGGTAACACCACCATCGTCTGTGTCGAAACATATTTACCCGCCACCAGAATGGATGCGACTATGGCTGTTGATCGGTCGTTGTCATGTGCAATTTTTCCGCGATTGGGTAAGTGTTGGCACGGCAAATGAAAGGGTGACTGGGTGGATGCTTACTGATTAATTTTCTATTTATTTTATGTACTCTTGTTGTTGCTGTTATTGTTATTGTCGTTGTTGTTGTTGTTGTTGTCGTTGTCGTTGCTGTTAATGCCACAGACGGTGACCCACTTAAAGCTGGGTGTGCATATCGCTTGTGCCATACTGATCGGCTTACTCTACGGCAACTCCGGTTCGAATGCGACAAAGCAGATTGCAAATATAGGTTCATTCACAGTACATAATACATATTTATGGTATACGACAATGATGCCGGGTCTGCTAAGATGTAAGTATATACATACATACATACATACATACATACATACATACACACTTACATATATAGAGGCAGATAGTGGAAGGGAAAGTCTAATTTGCTGCTATTGCTATTTACAGTTCCGCAAGAGATAAGTATTGTGAAAAAGGAGACATTCAATAATTGGTACAAACTGCGTACGTACTACATGGCGGGCCTTATCACGTCTACGCCGGTGCATGTAAGTTTGTGCTTGCGCATTTAAAGTCTTTTCACGCTTTTCTAATGTTATTCTACTTCGCCTCTTCCACAGATTATGTTCTCTATGACTTACATAACAATCGCTTATCTAATGACTGATCAACCATTCGAAATTGATCGTTTTGCCCAATTCTTGTTGGCAGCTATCATAGTGACGATAAGTGCCGATGCCTTCGGCGTGCTACTAGGCACAGTTCTGAGTCCTTTGGTAAGTACATTGGCATTTAACTGATATTTTAAACACGTCTTCAGTTAGGGCATTCGACTAGACTCTCTTTGGGGCTTAGATGTGGTAGTCCTCATTGCGTCTGTTCACCACACTACTGCTGCATCAGTTAGTATGGGTTTTTCGACACATATGTATGTAGAGACAATTTACCCTGTCTGGTGGTAGACCGTGATATACCGTTATACCTAGCAGAGTTGGAGGGAATTATACTGTTAATTCTCAAAGAAGGTGGATTGAATTGATGAACTTTTACATTTTAAGTAAAGAGGGATTTACTGAGAGTTAGTCATAAGTGGGGTGTGGAAATTGTCACGGATGGTTCAAAGACATATGTATGACTTGTTAGCTCGCCTTTTTATAAAATTTTTAATATATAAATTACCTATTAGTCACTTTTATTTCCATTTTCCTTTACAGAATGGTCCATTTGTTGGCGCTATACTGACCAGTTTTATGCTAATATTTTCCGGTTTTCTCATCTTACTCACGCACATGTCGACTCTAATGCGCTTCCTCTCGTATTTATCACCAATTCGTTATGCGTTCGAGTGTATGATATTGGCATTGTATTCGAATAATCGAGGAAATATTCCTTGCCCAATGGATGTGCTGTATTGTCATTTCAAGTAAGTTATAAATAGTTTTTTTTTTTACGAATACACAGCGAAAGAGTAAGACAAAAGAACAACGAACTGTGAGAAATTCATAGTAAAAGCCTTAGTAAAATTGAACATAATCGTAGTCGATTCTCGCTTAGAGCCGTTCCAAAGGTAAGGTCCTGACCCCTTACGAGTTTTTGTCACTTTCAAATATGAAATTTCACGGGTGGGGGAAATGCGATATGTATTCAAGTTGAGCAATAGACTCGTTGCAAAAAGTTGTGGTCTTTACAAAATGCCTAAGCAGGCAGCTGACGCTGCGCAGACGCCGATCGCTTACTCAAGGAATATGGATGGGAAGACGCAAACAGATCAGATATTTAGATATCTTACCTTACGAAGGTCTATTCCATTGCAAACAATGAACACTTTAGCCGTATCACTTCGCAGTTTTATTTACGCTCATTTATGAATTGTTATTATGTATGTATATATTTAGATACATTATTACACGCACTTAAATTTTACAACGTAAAAAAAAATATGTTTTTGCTATTTTAAAATACCGTACAAAATCATTAAAAAGTGTACCGTACAAAATAAAAAGAAACGTCAAAACAACCGAGAGACGTAATAGAATTTGGAATAGTAATAGATTGAGTGTTATCATTGAACGAAATTTCTTCGAAGGCAAAAGCGATTTGAACACAACAAAAGTAAGTAATGTTTTAGAGAAACATGTGTATGTATTTACCGGAGTTAACATTCGTAGCGGGGCATATATGGGAAGTAGGTTTAAACTTTTCGAATCTATGATTATATACAAACAATAGACAACTGTTACTTGATCTATCCTCAGTTTGGTTAGCCATTTGATAATAAAAATAATTAGTTCGGAACAACGTTTGCAATGCATGAATAATGGTTTATTTCGCGGGCTGCAACAGTCGGTCCCCATAATCACCCAGCAGAGTGGGTAATACGAGTTACTGCTGCTGTAGAGCTAAGTTTCGAAAAGAACTCCAATGAGTTCATGCGTCATTGCGCATAATATTGCGTTGCACGTTCAAAAGGAAATGATAACCGTTCACAATTTTTACAAGAAAATTTTACTCAACCTGAAGCGCACTTTTGGTTGAATGGGTACGTTAATATACAAAATTGTCGCATTTAGAGTGATGATAATCCACAAGTCATTGTTGAAATACCGTTACATCATCATCAAACACTCAGTGTTTGGTGTGCTCAATGGGCAGAGGAAATCAATAGTCCATATTTCTTCAAAGTAAAGCGGATCATACTCTAGGAGAACCATAATTAATGACTTTCGAGTTTTAATTTATAAAAATCACACATCTAAAAAAAAAAACACCCTTTATATACTCTTAAAAGCTTTTGCATCTTAATTTATTTTACATATGTATGTACATATTAATACTCCTACTTATTTATTTATGTACTTTATTCTACACAGAAAAGCGAACACCATATTACGCAGCTTTGGTGTGGAGGATGGAAATTTCGGCATGAATATATGTATTATGATTTTGCAATTATCGGCGTTTAGGGTGTTAACATACATTATGCTAAAACGGAAATTGGGCGTGTAAATGAATGAAATGCATGGATAATATCTACACTTATGCACATATATATATACATATACATATGTATGTACATGTGTGCATTATATTTGTTAAGTAAATTACGATATTTATACTTAATTTTAGTTAAATAAATGTATACATATGGACATACATATATGTATGTATGTTTTTTTAATGTAAAATAATCGATGGTGTATTGTAAAAAATTAAAATAAGAAATATGAACACATATGTACATATGTACATGGTACCGTTAAAAAGCACAATATACATGCACAAACATTTTACACACAACACCTATACACACATACCTACATATAAGCTTATACTCGTATTGTCGAAACAGCCAAAAACTAGCAAATATTTAAACAAAAAGAAGAAAACGATATTCTAAAGAAATGTATGCCTTCACGATATATGATATTTACAAAAGCAGTAATTGCAGAAACAAAAAAAAAAGAAAAATTAAAATAAATGAAATATATTAAATAATTATTATTACAAATATTATATTTACAAGCGCAGATTAAATACTTAAATCCTATGAGGAACTAAGCGGAAAGAAAGAAAACACATTTGTGATAGTATTGTAATTTTAAATACATACATACATATGTATATACATATATGTATATATATACATATATATATAATATCTTAAGTTAATAATATATGTAATGTATACACAAATACTCGTACATTCACGTCTATGCGCATTTGCAAAATGCTTGAATTAAAATAATGAAAAAATAAAATAAATAACTAAGTAAAACCAATAAGATAATTAATAATAAATAGTTCGTGTGATAAGACGTTCGTGCCTGCATACTTACTTATATATAAGCATATATGTATGTATGTAAATACGAGTTCATACATACATACACTAGTATGCACATGCCTACAAACACTTTCGATGCATACAAATGCGAATATGATGTTTACAGTTAATTAATGTTTTATATATATTTTTGCTTATTTTTCATTTTTATTTTCTACTTAGTTTTAAATAAAAAATGTATGTATGTAAGCGTATTACACAAATATATTGCAATAGTTAAGTGCTGATGAAACCACACGCCTACATACTAACACAATTCTATTACAATAGTTGACACGCAAATGTTAAATGGATAATAAACGATTGAAATTGGTAAAGATTAAGTGCAATTTTTATTTTTTAACTCAGCTCAATGACGTCAATGAAATGTTTTTTTTCGCAGGTAACGTAGTAGAAGGGGTTCGGAAATTGCTACAAAGCTCTGTCGGAAACTGTTTACAGTTTGGTGAACTTTAATTTTATTTGAGTGGTGCTTTTGATTTACCCTTTTTCCTTCCCTGCTTCTTTTCGCTGATTGGAAATACCAATTGTATCCAGCTGGTTCTCCATCTGATCTTTCCAACGGAGTTAAGGTCTTCCTCATCCTCTGCTTCCACCGGCGGGTACTGCAACGGAAACTTCCAATGCTGTAGTATTTTTAATCCTTCGGACCACATGACCTGGCCAGAGTTGTCGCTGTCTGCCGCTGATACGCTGAACTTTGCCAATACTCGGTTGCCAATGAAAAGAAAAGAGAAAGATGTTGTTTTTGTTGTTGTAAACCAAAAATATTCCAGAACGTAGTTTTTGGAGAATGTTGTGGAAGTGACAGTCTTTTGCCGGATAAAAATCCGGGTCGTTCCGGTATAAAGCCCCGACTGTAGCAGGAACTATTTGATTTTAGTCGCCTCCGAAGAGGTCAGATATTGTGGAATGATGAGTGACTGGTGGAGTTTGGTTTTTGCTCGACAATACAGGAGTTTACTTCTCAATTTCGAACGACTGTGAGAGGTCCTTACCGATTCTAAGCTGACGGAGTTTTTAGTTTGGTTTATCGTTAGTTTACGCCGTAGTATATGTTTTTCAGTAATATCAAATTCAGATGATTGATATACTATACCAGTTCTAAAACCATACTGAGAAGGTTCAATCAGTTTGTTGCCGATGGGCTCTGGTATTTAAAGTTTACGTGGATTGGGTATAGCACATTTAGGTTCCTATATTCGGACATGCTTTCATCACGGCCATATTTTTCAAAGAAATTGAATTCAATTGTCAGTTATTCACGCGGACTTCTTGATATTCCCGCAATCGACATCGATTAGGGAATCTGGTTCGCCGTCTCCTGGTTTCCAATTCTGCAATACAGCAGCCTTGAAAAGCGTTCCTTCTACAAAACGCCGTTTATTTAACATTCGTCGTGTTTATGTTAGAAAAATAAGAAGTAAAACAAAATGGTTTGTCTTTGGCTTAAAATCTAATATATATAAAACCTATGAAAATCTCGTCCGGTTGTACTTAGTTTGAGATATTCGAATAACCGGCAGGAAAAACTGATTTCGCTAAAATGGAATGTCTTAACGGTGACTTTCAGTTATTAAGAACGCTGAACCTTAGCATATTCAGTTGAGTATAGAGCTCGGTAGTGACAAGACTGATGTTAAGTAAAGAGGAGTATAAAGTGTTTGTGAGAAGTTGTATAATTAGAAAACTGTATGTTTGCCATGAAGTTAGTATACTGAGAGCTAATAATACATAAGTTTAACAACAAATTTTTGGACTTATCTTGAACAACCCAGTGATCGGGACCAAAGTATTTGGATTATCGTCATTTTCGGGGTAAAAGTTGAAAAATAAAACGATTTAAGCATAAGGAACGATAGATTTGGTCACTAGCCGAAGTCGAAGCCGACTAAGTTCGAAGAAGAGACAGAGCAAAAATAAATTTTTTATCGAAATAAGAATTTGTGTAAATTTTTATCCCTTATCTACTAAATTTATTTCACTCCATATTTACGCATATGGCAACTCCATAAACATGCATTGTCCGCGATCTATTACAATGAAACAGCTGCCAACTTTATATGTGCATCAAACGTCAAATTAAAGAAAACAGCAGTTTTAACGAGAAAAACATTAATTATACATTTTCCGATATAAAAGTAAAAGTTTAGCACAAATAAAATGTTTAAATCAAGTTTTGAAAAGAATCTTGGTAAGCGAAATGTAAAAGTGAATAATTTGCAATAAAAAATTATTACTTAAATTGGTGTGGTGACTCAGCAGCCGTATTGCATTTTATTGATAAGAGCAAAGGGTAAAACTGCGAACTGGTGGGTCACCGAACTAACTGCCTTTGTCTCTATAGAGAGAATTTCATGAAATATTGTTTTATATTCTAATAATTTTTGATCCTTTTGCGATTCTCTCAACCATTAAATATGTATGTAAATACAATATGTTTCCAATTACAGAAAATGCTACAAGTCACTTACGACTGGAACCTGAGTGGCCTTCCATTCTACTCATTTGCGATGAAATCAACCAAAAAGATGTCACGTAAGTACAATTAAAGAAAACATTTATATGTGATTTAGTTTTGCACATGTATTAAACTGGTTAGTGAATGTTATAAGTTAAAATTTAAGCCTTAACTGCTAGTATTTATAAATAACTAAATTTTTCATATACGGTTTTAGGGCTAAAACAGCTTTCGCTGCAATTAAGAAGAAAATGAGTTCCCCAAATCCACACTCGGCGTGCTATGCATTGTTGGTCTTGGAGAGCGTCGTAAAGAATTGTGGCGCACCAATGCATGATGAAGTATTCACAAAGGAGAACTGTGAAATGTTTAGTAATTTTCTTGAACAAACACCACACGAAAATGTACGTCAAAAAATGTTGGAGCTAGTGCAAACATGGGCATATGCATTCCGCTCTTCAGAGAAGTATCAGGCAATAAAGGTTAGTATTAGTATGTGTGTTAATTTGCATATATGAGGGTAATAAACGGAAAATGTGTGCAAAGTAAATTGTGCGAAAAAAAACAACGTTTGCAAAATTTAATTTAATTAGCGCTTCCTCGCAAATATAGTGCGAACGCGATTGCTTTATATGAAAAGATTTAAACGATATTAAAATGAGTTCAGAATCAGAATTGAGTTTGGATGAAGAAGTAAATTCTATTTTGACGACTAAAAATATTAAACTACCATTTATCTTCTTTACAGGATACTATGACTATACTAAAAGCTAAAGGGCACACTTTTCCCGAATTAAAGGAGGCAGATGCCATGTTCACCGCAGACACGGCTCCAACTTGGGCTGATGGCAAAGTTTGTCACCGTTGCCGGGACCCATTCTCGCTTACCAATCGCAAGCATCATTGTCGTAACTGTGGTCAAGTTTTCTGTGGCCAGTGCTCGAGCAAGCAATGTCCTATACCGAAATTTGGCATTGAAAAAGATGTAAGCGAGATTAGTGATATGAATTGCCAAACACAAAATATTTAATAATCAAATATATGTTTGCATTTATGTATATCTATTTAGGTGCGTATATGTGATGGTTGCTATGTACTGCTGCAGCGTCCAAATACCAAACCAGCAGTTCGTGCTGCTGCCGAGAGTGATTTGCCAGCAGAGTATGTCAATAGTTCTCTTTCGCAACAAGTGCAGGTGTGTTTGAGTGTTGTAAAGTACAAAGTTATAGCGTATTTTCATGTAAACAAACAATTCATTAATAACCGTCGTTTGTTTTTAGACACCACCACGTAAAAGCGAACAAGAATTAAAGGAAGAAGAAGAGCTACAGCTGGCTTTGGCACTGAGTCAATCAGAGGCCGAAGAAAAGAAGAAACAACAACAGCAACATGTAAGTAATATTTTATCTTATCGGCGGATTCATAAATTAAAACAAATGCGTCTTGGTCGTAGTGTAAACAATTAATTTTTACGCTTTAAACAATTTCAGTCATTAGCTGCTTACCGTTTGCAACAGCGTTCACCAAGTCCAGAGGCACCACCAGCACCAAAAGAATACCAACAAGAGGAAACTAATCCGGATTTAGCTAAGTATTTGAACCGCTCCTATTGGGAGCAACGTAAAGTGAGCGAATCTCCATTGGCTAGTCCATCAGCGCCAAGTCCAATGCCAACACCACAACCACAACAAGCACCCGCACAGCCAAAGGTAATAATTATGAGTCATAGTACTAAACAAAGCAATATTTTATAAATGCTTGACTATTTACAGTCAGCTGATGAGGTGCAAATCGATGAATTTGCTGCAAATATGCGTGCACAAGTGGATATTTTTGTAAATCGCATGAAATCAAATTCGAGTCGTGGTCGTAGCATTTCGAATGACTCTTCAGTGCAAACACTCTTTTTGAATCTGACTTCACTGCATTCGCAGCAACTGTCCTATATTAAGGAGATGGACGATAAACGGATGTGGTATGAACAGTTGCAGGATAAATTGGCGCAAATTAAAGATTCGCGCGCAGCATTGGATGTGTTGCGTCAGGAGCATGTGGAAAAATTGCGTCGCCTTGCCGAAGAGCAAGAGCGTCAACGTCAAATACAAATGGCACAAAAGCTAGAGATTATGCGTAAGAAAAAGCAAGAGTATCTACAATATCAACGTCAATTGGCGTTACAACGCATACAGGAGCAAGAGCGTGAAATGCAATTGCGTCAAGAACAACAAAAAGCCCAATATCTAATGGGTCAAACCGCCTTTCCGTTTATGCCGCCGGGTGTGATTGGCGGTCCTCAAGGTTCGCCTTCACATCAAATGAATAATGTATACAATCCTTATGCTTTCAATCCGAACTCACCGGGACCGGGTAATGGTGGTGTTGCTGGCGCCCCACAATTCAATCCTGCCGGCAATATGATTAATCCTCAAGGCGCACCTCTAGGACCAGCTGGTATACTGCCTGGAATGTATGCGACAGGTGGTTTGGTTGCAGGACAACCAAATCAACAGCATCCTGGTATGATGTTACAGCAGGGACCAATGCCACAGCAGGGTATGTTGCCGGGGCAACCACAAATCGGTGATAATATGTCGAATATGCAGGGTAAGTGATCTGAAATTGCTGGATCTTGATGACATAGTCAATCAAATAAAAATCATTTTAATTAATGATATTACCAATATATATAATATAACCAATTTCGTACATAACGGAGTTTTAATAACTATTTTCCAAATATGGGGTTTCTTTTATATAACGATCTTTTCAATATTAGTTTTTTTAGAAGATATTTTTTAATAACGATTTTTTTTAAATAACTAATTTTTCTAATAACTATTTTTTGAATAACCAATGTTTAAGAGTAACGTATGAAAAGAAAAATGACTTTTTTCAATTTTGTTAAATTAAAAAAAGGGTTTTCTTTTATTAGAGATTTCTTAGGAAATTAATTTTTTAGAATAACAAATAAGAAAAAAAATATACTTTTAAGTAATAATTTTTTTTTTAATTTTCATTTTTAAATACCCAATTTTTGCATACAATTTTTTTTGATTATTACTGTTTTAATGCAAAGAATGTTTTGAAAACTGTTTTTTTTTAATAACAATTTTCTTAAAATGACGGTTTTTGTATAACGATTTTTTAAATAACTAAAGTTTAGAATATCGATTTTTTTTTAATAAATAAGGTTTTAGAATTAACATTTTTTTTAAACTAACAAGAGTTTAGAATAACCATTTTTTAAATAATGATTTTTTTGAATAAAGAATTCTTTGAATAAATATTTAAATTTTCTTAATAACGATTATTTTAATAATTTTTCTCTAACAAGCGATTTTCTTAAAATAACGGGTGGTGCATAACGATTTTTTGAAAAACAAATTTTTTGGAAAACACTTCTAAATATTTCTTCAAATTATCGAATTTTTTAAAACAGTATTTTTTCAAAATATCGAGTTTTTTAAAACAATGTTTCTTCAAAATATCGAGTTGTTTAAAACAGTATTTTTTCAAAATATCGAGTTTTTTAAAACAATGTTTCTTCAAAATATCGAGTTTTTTAAAGCAATATTTCTTCAAAATATCGAGTTTTTTAAAGCAATATTTCTTCAAAATATCGAGTTTTTTAAAACAATATTTTTTCAAAATATCGAACTTATAAAAATTTTTTTTTAAATATTGAGTTTTTTAAAACAATATTTCTCCACAACGTCGAATTTTTCATAATAAAATTTTTTGAAATAACCAATTTTAATAACGAATTTTTCTATATATAAATGTTTTTCAATTAACTTGCAGCGCAACAACCACTAAATTCCGCTTTGGGACCGCAACAACAACAACAACCACAACAACACCATTCCCAATTGGCTCACGTTATGCTACAACAACAGAATGTCATGCAGTCCCATCCACCAATACCGACCGGTGTGCAAATGCCACCACACAATGCACAACATTTACCACCACAGCAACAGCAACAGCAACAACAGCAGCAGGCGCCTCCACTTCAGCAGCAGCAGCAGCAGCCGCCCCAACAACAACAACAGCAACAGCAATCACAGATACAAGCAGTCGCTGCCGCACCCGTGCCACCACAAACGGAACCGGAACCCGCCGCTGCAGCACCAGCCGCTCCCGAAGAACCCGCCACAGCGGAGTTAATCAGCTTCGATTAATACTTTCGTTTTTTTAATTGAATATTAATCATTAAATCATTATCAATTATAATTAAATCAAATTGAAATTTTTCAAATCAATAACATCTAATCGCACTAAGTAATGTAAATCATTCCCAAAAGAGAAATATGTGAAACTATTTAATCGCTGTATAATCAAATTGTATTACACTTATTACTACTACTCATGCATACATATGTTATGCTAATAAAAGTTTATGCGTAGCAAATATTCCAAATCAAATTTTTGTGCCAACTCAAGGGAAGTTATTAACCGTAGTAAGATCTATCCCCACCGAGTATCTAAATCGCAGATGTACAGTGACGCATCACTTACACAGTGAAATTACACAGCAAATTCCATTTTATTAGAATTGTAAAGTGTCAGCAATATCTGCTGGTATGCTACTGCCGGAAAAACCCCAACAGATATTTACTCGAGACTGAGCCTCAACATCAGGAATGGAGTACTAGACTATATCTAATCCATACCGCTGGACAGGACGGCGTGCTGACAGGCTTTAAACGCTAATTATCTAGAGTCCGTCAAAGTCTTCATGATCTCTTTTTATGTTCTTCTCGGAATCCAAGCACCACCTATTGCAGATCAAGATCTCCAGCGGACAAGAGAAAGGCCAGTAATAATGGCACAATTGAGATCTGAATATTGTAGACGACCTAATTCCTACCCATACAGGCTTGATCTTGACAAACTCGTACCCAACGTATGTTCAGACACTAACTACCACTTTGCATGCCCCCTAAAACCTTTCCATAGCTTGCCTCTGGTCGAACCTATTGTTTTTATCGTTGTTGTAATCGAAAAATATTCCTAGAATTTTTTTTGTGGGAATATTGCGGGAGTCATAGTCCTTGACCGGATAAACATGCGGGCTGTTCCGGTATAAAGACCCTAGTGTCGCTGAAACTGTTGGTTTTTATTCGCCTCTTACGACAGGCCTGCCTTACCACGGCTAAACTCTTGAGCCCTAACTCGCAGGAGTATGGTCCGAACCTATCAAATCAGCTCGTATCCTGCACATCATATTATATGATCTCGATGACTTACGACAACATTTCAAGATGAAATTAAATGAAGTATTATTTTATGTGATCCGTACTTTTGCTTCCGAAGCTAGTTCATTTGATCACGTTATGGGCATCGGAGTTTTGGGGGCGTCAAGAAATGTCGCAACATAACCGATTGGTGCAAAGTCTGAATGCAGCTTTAGGTTTTCAGCTCTCGAGTTTATGAAAAGAACACATTAAGGCGGAAAATCATCACGGCTTGTCGTAAATCTAAGCAAATTTGATGTCGGAAGGTCCGGAAGAGGTTTACTTTCCAAGAAAGAAGGATATATCCGAAGTTATAAAAGCTGTGGCAGGGCATTGTCTGTTATAATGGCTCGCAGAAAGACGGAAGTAGACGGAAGTTAAGAGGACTTTTTAGTGAAAGTCAATACCGCTGTTGTTGTTGTAGTAGCGGTTGACTAACCCCGCTTAGGTACAGGTTTCACTAATCTAAGTCGCCGAGGTTGTCTAATTGGAAATACCGTCGAATGTATTTCTACTCTACATCCGAAGAGTTTGAAGAACTTGAGCCACCTCATTTTTCTTCTTCGCCGCAAAAAAAAATCCCAGCTGTTACGGTATGAAAACCTGACTGTAGCACAAGCTATTGAGTATCATATTTCACCTGACTGGCTCGAGCCTTCATTTTTAACAGTCCTGTTTTTATCACTCCAACGGTTCAGTAACGCCGCTTGGGAGCAGGTAGAGTTAGTTTATGCCATCGTGGTTGGTTTTTGATAGAAGTATAACTTCTTCATTCGCTACTCCTTCGTCTCCGGTGCCCAGATGTGGCATAACTTATGATTAATCGACTGGATAAAGTTGTGAGTTGGTAGCCTTATTCTGGGTAATTTCAGCAAATGTTTTGATGATTTTGTTGATTCTAACGGCGGTTTAAGTTAAACATCCAATTTGTCTTATATTTTATGAGTTGTATAAAAGATGGCGAGTTGAAATCATTTTGCAACCCCCTTACTGTCCTATCTTTGAGTGATTGAGACTGAAGCATCTGGGCTCACATATCTTCAACAAGCCAGGGTGTTTTAAAACGGAGTTTATTGTTTTCATTATTGTTGTAGTAACCGTAATTACTGGCGTACGCCGATGATATTGACATTATCGGTCTCAACAACCACGCCGTTAGTTCTGCTTTCTCCAGGCTTGATAAAGTAGCGAAGCGAATGGGTCTGGTAGTGAACGAGGACAAGACGAAATAACTCTTGTCATCAAGCAAACAGTCATCGCATTCGCGACTTGACTCCCACGTCATTGTTGACAGTCATAACTTTGAAGTCGTAGATAATTTCGCCTATCTACGAGCCCGCATTAACACTAATAATAACTTCAGCTGTGAAATCCAACACAGAATCACTTTTGCCAGCAGGTGCTACTTTGAACTGTGTAGGCAATTGAAAAGTAAAGTTCTCTCCCGATGAAGGAGAACCAATGCGAAAGCATGGACGTTGACAACATCTGATGAATCGGCTTTGGGAGTTTTCGAGAGAAGGTTTTTGCGTATGATTTATAGTCTTTTGCGTAAGATTTACGGTCTTTTGCGCGGAACGATGAGCAGCTGTTCGAGTTATACGTAGCCATTGATATAGTTAAGCGAATAAAGAAGCAACTGCTACGCTGGCTAGGTCATGTGGTCCGGATGGATGCGAATACTCCAGCTTTAAAAATTTTCGATGCAATAGCCGCCGGTGGAAGCAGAGGAAGAGGAAGGCCTTCACTTCGTTGGAAAGACCAGGTAATCGCAAAGGAATTTCCCAAATTTATTTTCAGGGAAGATTATGGTAGGGTCAGTTCTTGGCGGGATAAATATCCGAGTCGTTCGTATAAATGCTGTCCGACTGTCGCGCGCACTATTAGATTTTAGTCGCCACTCTCCACACGCATGCTTCACCGCTGACACCTGGTACCTAGTTTATTCTAAGCGGCTTTCGAATGCCGAATGGTTGATGGATTCTTTGAAGAGCTTTTGTTTCGTGTAAGAAATAAACTCGGAGGACTTGATATACTTGTCTTTGGTGCGGCGAAGCCAATTTATATATATAAACATATGTAATCTTCCCTTCAAGTTAAGCAATTAAGAATTAGTGCAATCCCCAGTGCGTGGAACCTAACCCAAGCTAACTTAACGAAACTTTTTGCAGTCACAACACACCAGCACGAGCTCTTTTAAATTCAAGTGATAACGGTACAAACACTTGTCACTAAAACAAGAATGAGTGCAGAAAAAAATACCCAAAAATTGCGAAAAAAAGGGAAAGTCTCCATGGATAGGGGATGATGGATGTAAAGGAAATGCAAAAGACAAGAAGGAAACGATAACCAGCAGAGTTGCAAGCTAAATGTGTTATGCAAATGAGACATATGTGCACAGAATTTCCGCGTACATACACATGTGTACAGATACCAGAGTTTGAGTTTGTTTCCCTTTGAGGAGCATAACGTCATACATACCTTCCAAATGCCGGCACATCTTTCGCCTTTTTTTTTAATTTTATTTCATTACATGTAAATTTTCACCACAATTTGCTGCCATGGAACGGGTAGGACTTACCCCGCTCGTTTGTTGCTCCTGCAAATGTCTGACTTAATGTGCCGGCCGTCCGTCCGGGCATCCATCCACCCACCAATGTCCATTCTTGGCGTGCGTACGGCATATGGCATTCTACAGCCATTGTGATTTTGCTTTCGTTTCTCTTTTATTCGAGAAATGGTCACAACAACAACAATAACAACAACAACCACCACAAGCAAAATGCTAACAACAATTGTTGCTCTAATGCAATTTAAGTTTTCTACTTTTACTTGCAACGAGCCAGCTACACTTCCGTTTCTTTGCATTTCCTTTGGGTAAGCTTCGGGTTGCATTTTTATTTCTGCAACAAGCATCTTTACTTGCCGTCACAGCTTCAGGAGAAGTTAGTAAGCTGATGGAGTAGCTTTTGCTCTCTTTTGTCTTCTTTCATAATAAGTTTATGAGTGTGCGTGTGCGTGTGGCGATTGCGTGGTTTTGCACCACCACCTACGGCACATCTTCTTTTATTTCTTGACCTACTTGAACGCAAGTGTCTTATTCGGTAGCGGTAAAGGCTTAAGTAGACAAATGCTGCTCAGTGCAATTGTCCGAAAGAGCACGACTTCTTCGTTATGTCGATGTTGGACCAAGCGAAAGTTTTAAAGCGAACCCAAAGGCAAAGCACACTGGATATAGCTATGGAAAGATAATAAATGACTTTTTGAACCTTCCGCGCCAAATGGTTAGCACTGCGTTCTGCCAACCTAAGAGCCAGGGTTCAAGCCCTAATCTGACCAAACATCCAAAAATATAGAAAATTATTTTTTCTAATTGCGGTCGCCCCTCGGCAGAGAATGTCAAGGCCATCGAGTGTATTACACGTACATAGTGAGGATAAGTCGATGAGCACTTCCTTAAATCCTTTTCTTCTTTACAGGTGCAGGTCCGAGTCAATAATAGGCCCCATTCGTTTCTTTTCTACAACGTTCGGCACTAATTAGACACACCAAGGGAAGCCAAGTATTTCTTACGGACTGAATGGAGGTCTTAATATTTCTAGGATTCCACCGACGGGTCGAAAACTTTCAAAATTAAAGTATTGTCGCCCAAACGGACTACATGACTTAGCCATGGTAGCAATTTCCTCTTAATTTGCTGAACCATGTCAATATCTTCGTACGACCCGAGTAGCTCATCATCCTCACAACTACGGTACTCGTCGTTGCTGACACATCAAATGTCCGCCAACGTTCAGACTTCATCCATACAGAGCTTGATTTTTGTTCTTCTTCGAGAGATCTTCACTTTTGAATTCTGTAATCATTGTTCGATTGTTTTTGCAGAGAAGCAAGAATCTTCAAGTCCTTCATACTCACGTTCTCGGCCTATTCAATTTTCGGTATCTATCCCACCCCGACGTATAGTGGTTGGTCGTAACGTTGCGTGGTAGCTGGTCTCTTCTGATAATGCTAAAACTAATTGTTAGCGAAGCGGCGGTATGTAGAGAGTTTGAGTTGCCGTCTTACAGTTCCCTATACTGAGATGCTGATAGCTGCTCTCAGAGAGCAGGAGTGAAAGTCGAGTAGGCAACTATTCTGCAGTCTGTTGTGATTATGATCCGAGTCGATGTTG